CGTCGCTGCTCGGCCTCTTCCCACCTTCGCGCTTTGGGCGGCCGCCGGGAGGCCAAAGGGCCGCCTGGTCGCCGCCGCGGGGAAAGCTGAGGTTGGCTTGATGGAAAGCAAGTGGAAGAGGTTACAACGCTGTCACTGGTGCGGCCTTGCAGCACTCGCGCGCAGGGAAGCCCCAAGCACCGTCTCGGGATGCCAGGCTTTATTGAATTTCTCACCTATTACTAATCTTTTTCAAAGCCTGGCCCGAGGTAAAACACCCTTTTGAAGACTTAAGTATTTAATCAAACTTTTGAGGAATCATAAAGGCTCCAGAATCCTCAAACTTATGAATTTCCTTGCATTTTCTCCTGCTCTGCTTTAGAATGAGCCAGAAAGATACAGCAGGCTTCAGGTAGCCTTTTCCAAGCATGACATAGCATATGTATGCATGGGTGCGCAGATGGGATGTGTGCAGGTGTCGATGGTGTAGTACCTCCTGCTGGCTGTGGGAGACAATCACTTCTTTCCTTTTAATTCAGCTGAAGCAAATAGTCTTGGCTTGAGGAGATGCAACAGAACCAAAAGCGGATGTCGTTTTAGACCACAGCACTACTTTGACTCCGTGCTGTAGGACCCAACCTCTTGACGTTTCAGATGGGTTGATTGCTGATGGATGCAACCTCCCACTGCCGGCGCAAAAGGGGGAAAAAAGCCCAATAGCTTGTGGAGCTGAGAGAGGCGCTGGTGACCAGCGGGAAGCCTGCAAGAAGTCTGCATCGGTTTGGTGGGCTGGTTGTATCTCGTCCGTTCAGCACGGCAGAGCCGCAGCAGGGCTGTCCGTTCTGCAGGCCCTTGGTGCCGCTAAAGCGGGTTGGTGCTGGCGTGCGCTTCGAGTCACGCTGGCCGCCCTTGAAACCCGTGTAAGATCTCCTGCTGCGAGGAACATGAGCAAATTAAACTCAATTGCTTTAGAAAGCCAGTCTCCCTGTTGGCTTGTTGCTGAAGCAGAAGAAAAGTAAATATTAAAGCTCAATTTGGCACTGTTAGTGTTAATTATTGTTTATTCCAAGGTAATGGCTAGAGTCCCCATTGTGCGCCAAAGGCTGTTCCTTTCCCACACAGTTGACGCGCAAAAAGTTGTTGCCTGCTCGTGCCTGACTTTGCAATGGAAGGTTACTAACCTTCGGTAGTTAGCAGCAATCCTGACTTCTAGGTAGGGGCAACAGGAAAGAGCCTGGAAAGTTGAGCAGCTCGCTCTCCAGGAAGCAGAGCTGCTCCAGGAAGGAGGAGGAGCGCGCCAGGGCTCCAGTGACAGAAACAGTCAAACAACTGGAGTTTGCCGTTTCTTCCTTGTTCTCTTTTCAAGCAACTCTTGCGTTTTCACAATGGCTGCAGGTGACTTCTCTAGTTCTCCTGTTTCTCAAGGAAATCAGTGCAGGAAGGGCAGTGTTCACAACAGTGATGTTATAAACTGTGCATTTAGAGCCTGGGATGACCAGAAATGATATTTTTCTAAGCAAATTAGTATTTTACTAAACAATTCTTTCCATGCATCGCAATAGCTGGCAAAAGACAATGCAGATAAATTTGCTCATTAAACTGAAGTCGTTAAGGGGAAGCAAGTAAAATTCCTTTTTTTTTTTTTTTTGGATCAATATCACCCACTTGCCAGCCTTATTAAGTCATCGTGGACAAATACAGCAAAGTTGCTAGTAGGTGTATGAGCTAGAATTAGCAAGTCTATAACCAAGTGCAGAATGAAAAGCATGAAGTTGTAGTCATAGTTCTTTTGGCTCTTTGAGAGTTCATTCCCTCTGCCTCAGTTTCTTCTTGCTCTAAAGAGAGAACAGTTTCTGTCAAGGACACCTGGCATAAACCTGAATATTTCCAGCCAAAGAATGCAAACTGATAGCCTTTGAAGACCTTTCCCTATACAATAAATCAGCAAAAATAGGTCCAGGTTCAAGTCACCTTGGGAAGGATAGATGAGTTCTCCCATGCCAAAGTCATTGTTATGCAACTGGTCAGAGGTAATGTAGCGTTAAAGATGCATTAAAAATTCCCTCTGAGATCTCTCCTCGATCTGTAACAGACTGCCCCAGCGAAAATGGAAGATGAAGCTTTAGGCTTCTGAATATGCTTTTTTTTTTTTTTTTAAATCTGAAAGAGCACTTGTTTGTACACAATTATCTGAGCTGCAAAACAAGACAAGAACACCAACAGGTATGTTTGTTCTGTGTCACACTTACAGCTGTCAAATAGATTGGAGGAGAATTTTATGTTGCAGAAGAGATAAGGGATTCACCCTCAATAAATGTAAAGCTTTTCTCCATCAGAGAAAGCATCAGAATAAGATCTTTGTTCATACTTTAGTCAAAAGCATTGCTATTTTTTTAAAGTGTGATGGATTCCTTTTTAAGGAGATTTTGCTGGAATCCATTCTTTGATTCAACCTTCACTGTGAAATTGCTCTGGATTGCTGGAAGTAAATTATCCTTTTAGATAGGAATTGTAGAGCTGAAATAAGTTAGTAAGTGGCCAGATATTCTTGTAACAGGCGTGTTAGATTGATTTTTGTTGGGTTTGTTTGTTTGTTTGTTTGTTTTGTTAGAGCAGGGTTGGATATATGTCTAGCTTTCCAACTCTGTAAGACAACATTCAGAGATGCCTAGTGGTTCCTTTTAGGAATGTTATGCTCTGAATCCGTTTGATGGTTCTCTGATTCAGAATGTGGTATTCCTGTAAGTAATCTGAATTTCCCCCTTCCTCCTTCCCTTTTTCTCTGTGGCTACTATGGACCAGAAGTACAGCCAAAATAGTCTGCATGTGGCAAGGCCTAATCTGTTACAGTAATGTTTTTTGGCAAGCCTACTTCTGTACTTTTTCTTTCGTATACCCCTGGGTGCTGCATGCTCCCAAACCAAAGCCATTTCCCTAACAGACTAAAGTTCATGTTACTCTCAATCAGATAGTTGAGTAAATTGGATTACCAAGAAACACAATTTCTAGAAGCCATTTATGAACAGATCTTGGGGCTGAGTATGGACTCTGTGATCTGTGTTTTTGATTTTGCATGTCTATCCCCATAACCTACCAAATCTTTTATCCTGGTGCAGCTCAGTTCATCTCACTGCAATGCAACTCTTAGGATCAGCTCCCAGGAAACACCCTTTTTCGCATGTGGCCGTCTATGCTGGTAGACCGTATGCCTTCTGGGAAAACTGGATAAGTTACTTTTACTCAGGTGTGCCTACTGAAAACAACCCAATACTGTAGTTGCAGAAAGCTCTGATAGTTTGCTATGTGTCTTGACCTGCCCTAGAATGAACAAATCCTAAGCTGGGAATGGCTGATATTTATCTAGACTTTGAGGGAGAAGCTACCTGCTTTTTTTGTAATTCATTGCTTTGTTATGTTGCATGTTGTTTAATTTTGATTCTTCCCCAAATATAATTTTCAGCTTAGTTTTGCAGTAATTGAAAAACTGGTATAAATTAGTAAGATTGAGGAAAGAGGTTCAAGCATATGATCACAGGATACAAGACCCATTGTTCTACAAGCTGGTGAATTGCTCCAGGGCATCCAAGGCTTAACCCTAGAGAGTTTGAATGTAAACTAAATGCGCTATAGCCAGTTAGATACTCCAGCAAAGAAAAGAAGGCTGCCAGGATCGGGAAAGAAATATAGGCCATTAAAGTGACTTTAATTAAAAAAAAAAAAAAACAAAACCCAAAACCTAAACCAAAAACCTCGACTTAGGACCTCGCATTAAAAACTTCCTTTAAGCTCTATGTAGTTTAATTAGGGCCACAGAGAGGAGAACGACAAACAAGACACTTGTCCTGGGTCTCAGAGGTCCTGTCTCTGGAGAGATTACATATTCTTGATGTGAGCACGGCAAGCAAACCGGCAGGAGGAGAGGAGAGGGCTTCACAATCTGAAGTTATCTC